TGTGGGTAATGCGATGTATGTAGTGTATGTATGTAATGTAATGTAGCGCAACGTAGGCCCGCTGAGCCCGTTGGGCTCGTCGGGCCCGTCGGGCCCATTGGGCCTGTTGGGCTTGTTGGCCCGCCGGGGTCGTTGGGATCGCTGGGCCCGTTGGGCCCGTTGAGCCCGTTGGGCCCGTTGAGCCCGTTTGGCCTGTTGGGCGCGTTGGGCCCGTTGAGTTCGTTGGGCCCATTGAGCGCGTTGGGCGTGTTGAGCCCGTTGGGAGCTTGGGCCTGTTGAGTTCGTTGGGCCCATTGAGCGCGTTGGGCGTGTTGAGCCCATGGAGCGCGTTGGGCCCGTTGATTTTATTGAACTGACCGGTTTAACACCTGGGCTCTGGTTCTGACTGCGCTAAGTGACGGGTTTTTTGCTGCACTAAGTGACCTGTTTAACACTTGGGTTCTGACTGCACTAAGTGACGGAATTTTTGCTGCACTAAGTGACCTGCTGACCGTCGTTTGCGCCAGGTTGGCTTTCAGAGGGAATCAATCTTCTTTGGACATATCTGCTCATTTTTTCCCGGGCGAAAGAACAAATGGTCAGGTGCCCCTTGGTTTGGACTGGCGGGGCTTTGAATTGTGGGTACACGAGAAACCACCCCTTAACCAGCAAACCACCGGGCAGATGAAATGGAAGCTTAACTAGGTCCAGTGCCCTTTCACCAACTTCTTTTGGCAGGGCTCCTTAAAATAAATTCATTTTGCCATTTTTGTTTGAACCATGTTGCTTCTTCAACACCAAAATAGGGGAAACCACCATTTGCAAGGCAATGCTCAGGTGTGTAATGTAAGGATCCCTGTTTAGGGAAGGTTCCCCTAGTAAAATAGACTGCAGCAAAAAGATCGGGTACCAACTGATTCTAGGGTTCAAAAAAAAACTACAAAGGAGTTGGTACCCTTCTACCCTTTTTTTTGGTACCCTTTTCATGGTACTGCTGGAGGACCTCGTTACAGTGACCTAAAACAGTCCCATGTGACTCCACGCCTTCAGCTATGCCAGGCCGATCCGCTCGGGCTGTGGCATGTAGCATAACAGGCCGATCCGCTCGCGCATCGAGCCTGTCGGTTGGGTCCCGAACCAGATGGTTGGTTGATCCTACTGGGAGGGTCGGTTTTTCTTTGGTTGGCCTTCAAAGGGAAAGCAAAACTTGTTTTTGTTGGTGTTGGCTGGTGAAGGGAAAACAAAGAAACAACCAGCCTATTGGGGGTCAGTTGTGGCTTCACGAACAATTAGGGGTCCTTTTGATCAGTTAGTTTAGTTAAGAGCAGATGGCGGGTGTTGTCTGGCCAACTATTTGTCCAAAAGGCCACCTATGATCCTTTGGTGCATTTTGCCAAGGGATGTTAGGGCTTTAACTTTTTGCCAACTAATTCGGGTGTTCCGTACTAAGCCACTAAAAGTTAAACTTTTAGCAGAGCAGAAAGCATCCGAGGATCAGTTCCCTCAGTTGGTCCGGTGGTTTGGATTTGAACCGGTCCGGAGTCCCTGGTTCTTGAGGGTAGAGAAATCACGAACCAGACCACCAAACCACCGATCCAAACGAGCGATGGCTAGGCCTCCAAACATGGAATTCACATGGCCCCTGATGGAGGCAAAGGCCAAACCTGCTTAAGCTCTTTGGTTCTGAGCCAGATAAGTTTGTTTTTGTTGGGTTTGTCGTGTTTAGGGACGTCCACCAAATAATATTGCTAGCCACTCAAAGCCACTAGAAACCACAGTTTATACCGGCAACAGCCAGCGCAAGCTTCCACAATCATCGACCTAACAATATGGGGGTGTTTTTTGTTGAGGCTTGCCTTTTTTTGGAAGGGAGACAACCAAGAGGAAGACCGTGGTCATTTTGGGTTTGAGGCTTTCCGGTTTTTGAAAGGGACACAACCAAGAGGGAAAACCCTTTCATTTGGGCACGGGTCAAAGTTAAACCCATAGGGGACCACTTGTTTTAGTCCATGTTTCCATTTGCCAGGGTTCCAGTTTGGGTACCTATTTTTGACCCACAGCCATGTTGGGGGGCCCACAATTCGGGGGAAGCCGACTTATTCTAGGGGTTCATTCCCCATTCTTTTCAGCCATCGTTCTTTTCAAAAACCAGCTGTTTTGCCAGGTTTGGGGTGGCATTATAGAAAGAAGGATGCCTGGAAAGAATAGAAATGGAAGGTACCCCTACAATTAGACTAGGTCCCCCAGAATTAGTTCCCCTTTTTACTTTTTTGCTTTTTTTGGGATCCCAATTTGTTTTCCACCTTGCCAGGCAACAAAAACACATTTTTTTTGCTGGGCCCCTTTTTTCCAGCCAAGAATTCGAGGGAAGCAGCCAAGTTGTTGCTTTTTTCAGTCACTGTTGCTGTTTTTGGGGTAAAGTTCATGGAAAAACGCAGCAACTGGCGATCCAGGAAGCTGAGTTCTGTCCCTTTGGTTTCGTTCGGATCAGGACCGGACGCCACGCAGGAGCGAGAAGCGGTTCGGGGCGGGAAGCGCGGGGTTCGCGGGGTTCGGGCGCGCGGGTTTCGGGAACACGGGCGGCTCAGCTTGGTTTAGAGAAAACTTCTAGGGGCACCTTCCAATTCCATTCTTTCCGTGGTTGTTGTTGGGAAACATTTTACATTTTGCTGATTGTGGTTTAGTGGGAAATCCCCACTTAACTGCTATATTTAAATTGTTGCTCCCCTTCCAACGTCAAGCAAGATTCCAGGGATCCGGATCTTTCTAGAAAGCCTCCAGAAGCTTGGGAAAATAGCTGCTGTTTGAAACTTAGCTTGTCAGTGTTGCCCTTTTGCCCTTTTTGTCCACAGGTGGCATTTGGCCTCATGCATGCGGGGGGGCAGGTCAGGCCAAAAATCACGATGTTGCCAGCAGCTGCTGCGAAGAGCAGCTCAGCCTACGCCAGCCCCGCAGACGCGTTCCACAACTTTGTATGATTTGCGCGCCCAGCTCGCGGTCGCACGAGTCCAGTTGTACGATTGCAAGTGGTTCGTCGCTTGTAAAGCCGTCTTGTGGAGAGAGAGAGCAGTTTTTTCATTGGCAGCGACTCCAAGCGCTCGCATTCTATTATGTGTTTTACATTAAATTTATGTGGGAAGGAGAAGCCTTATGACTGCGATTCCCCAGCCCTGCGCGTGGCATAGCGCACGGACATTCACACCCATGTGTTGACATATCTTACGTGGCCGTGTCCTCTGCATGTTGCCTGGCAGTTGTGTGATCTCAAGCACCCTGACCCACGGCCACAGTGTGCCCAATGTAAGGCCATGAGTGACCGCCTGCAGCAGCTCCCTGAGCTCAGACTGCTCGGGCTACGCGAGCTGTTTACAAGCGATGCTGCATTTGGGCGTTGCGGTGCAGCCCATAGTCTCCAGCGAGGCGTGCCCGCAGAAACGCATGTTCCTGGAAGCGGTGCGCGCGTGCCTGAGTGGCACAGCGCCCTCAGCTATGCTACACGATTTGCGAGACCGCAGGAAAGAGCAGGCAGACAGCCAGCAGAAGATGCTGCGACCTGCACGAGGGTGGCTACCCATGCGTGAGTTGGAGCAGGGCAGGTAAGCAGCTAGGCTTCTGTGACGCCCCTGGAAGCTTGCTACTGCATGGCCTGGAGTCCATTCTGCGCGAGGGCCCGCGTTGCTTTGTGCTGGAGAACGTAGCCCCGTTGGCGGAGGATCCCTTGCTTCGCCAGCTTGAGGAAATCACGGTGGAAGGCGGCTACACCACCGCCTGGAAGGTCTTCAACACCGCCGAGCAAGGGCTGCCCCAGAACAGGCAACGCCTGTAGTGGATAGGCGCTCGCTGTGACCTTCCACTGCGCCTTGATTGCAACAAAGAGGATCCGCGCAAACAAGTCGGAAGGGGTGCCCATGCTGCGTTTGCTCCCCAGAGGCGCCAGTGAGATTTGGGCGGAGCCGCTTCCAGCGCCTCGCCTAGCAGACTTCCTGGGCGTGGCAGGAATGGAGCATACCGTGCGAACTTGAAGCAGGCAGGCGCTGCGGCGATTCATTGCTGCAATTGCGCTGCCATTGCAGGCGCGCAAGCTCGGCAAGACTGCACTGCAGAGCACCAGCCGCATCATTGTAGCAGACATGGGTGGCAGCGGGGTCAACATTCAGGTCAACAAGTTCCCATGCATCACAGCTTCTCGTGGCAAAAACTATGTTGTATTTCCCGCCATGCCTGCGACGTCAGAGATGGGAAGGTTGCAAGGCCAGCGCGATGGTGTGAGTGTCTGACAAGTGATTGTGCTTAGTTTGCCGCAGGTCTGGATGATCGCTGGCTTCAGATCCTCTTGCACAGTGGGGCGCAAGCTAGCACCATTGGCCACGCCATTGGTAATGCAATGAGCATGCCGGTGTGCATCAGCAGGCCATGCGTTGCGCTGTGCAAGCCACTGCCCTGTAATTCCACTGTCAGGTTGTTGTACAACGCGTACATCTTGAAGACGCAGCCCACGGATAGATGGCAAGAAGCCTGTCGCCAAGTGAGTGTGAGCCCTGACAATAATTTTTGGACAGTTATCCCGCATGGGCGAAGTGGCAAATGCATCCACTGGGGCACGAGCGTGTTCTGCCTGAAAGCTTCACTTGCGCCGCAGACGTGCCTTTGGCAGGGGCCGAGCGCATCTGCTAGGCTGATGCCAGTCAGCAGTGCGGAGCCCTTTAGGAGCATGGCGGACTTGTTATGTGGCCGGGCTCACCGCTACCGCCCACGCCGCTTAGCGTAACGCCCAGCTTCCCAGGTCGTTGGCTCTTCACGCATGTGAGTGACCGACAGCGCGCTTAGCGGCCGCAAGGGGCGCAGGCTTGTGTGGAACACACGCTCCGTTTCCTGTAGCAATCAATTCCTACAGCGAAAACAATGTGACCATGGCAGCCTAAGTAGCTAGCCTTGCGCGCAGCGTTAGCAGCAGCTGGCAGCCCCAGCCATCCGGTCCAAGAGAGAGAGCCCCAGCCATCCAACCGCAGAGTAAGCTTGCCATGCCTCCCAAGATGCAGCGGAAGCCAGTGGACGTCACCGCCGATGTGTTTGGCGAGCTGGCTAGTAAGCACCCGCTGGCCTTGGAAGCTCTGGAGGGCTGCATGGAGGGCTTGCCACTGATGAAAGTGAAAGGCAAGGTCACGAGAACCGGCTTGGCCTCACCCTCACCAGAGGCGAGGTCACCAAGCACAGTGCCAAGTATGGGCGGCTGTGCCAGCTGTGGTGCAAATACTTGCAACACAAGATGAAGCGGGGCAACCCAGCTGCGGAGTGCTACTTCAACCAGGTGAGCATTGTGGTCAACCCTATGACTTGCGGAGCGAAGGACATGAGGATCCTGGGTCACGACACGCCAGCTATGCCGGCCTGGATCATGAGTTCTGGCACCGACACCGGCCAGGGTTGACGGGAGCATTTGATGGACTTTCCCCATTCTTTTCAACCATCGTTCTTTTCCTTAGCTTGTGAGTGCTCAGGCCCAAAAAAGGGAACCCTTTTTGTTGCTTTTCAGCCGCCAATCACCCCTTTGCCAAACGACTCCAATCTGCACTCGCACTCGGGCTCCCCAACCACCAAACCGAGCTCCCCCCAATCTCTCCCCAACCACCAAACCGACACCAAACCGGTCCCCCCGACCACCAAACCGGGCTCCAACCACCCAACCACCAAACCGCTAAACCGGGCGCCCCAGCTCCCCAAAAAAGCCCATTTGTCGCCTTTCCAGAGCCTGTGCTCAATAATATAATATACCTCCTATCCTATCACTTGACAGCAAACTGGCAGCTTTGCATGGCTGTGCAGTCCCACGCCCCCGCTGCTTTTGCTTGCTCCGATCTAAGGTGTTGGGGAGCCCGGTTTAGCGGAGGTTTGGTGGTTGGTTTGGAGGTTGGGGAGCCCGGTTTGGAGGTTGGTTTGGTGGTGTCCCATTCATCCACCCTCTACGTACCAAGAAGCAGGGGAGAAGCCATATCGCGCATTGTCTCCTCCGATGAAGCCTTTTGCTTCTGGATTTTTGAGGGCGATGTCATGCGCTTCTGCACTTTGAACCAGATCCAAGCGGTTTGAAGACTATCACATATCCCGGACCCTCTTTGTGATCCCCTTTCTGCCTAGCCACAAAACAGGTGACAAAGGGGTCCTTGAACTAAATCCATTCCAGGTTGCCAACGGCTATGAGAAAAGACGCGTGGCTTCGATCATTCCTATCTCAAGTGGCGTCCCTTGCCGGGTTGCAACCTACTGAACAGTTGTGCCATCTGTCTTTGCGTGACAAAAGGACTATCCTCTTACCCTCCCACCCACGAAAGCTGACAAGGGTCCTTTTTAGGAGGAGTTTGGTTTTTGGGAACCCCCAGGCAGGTTCCGGGGTACCTTGCACTTGGCAGAATCTAGGCCAGGTAAGTGCAGAAAGCACTTCGCCACGGAGGATTGACCTCAGAAATTCCAGTTTTACTCAAAACGGTACCGTGACTCAGACTCAAATGTTTGATAAGGGACGGTCCCTTAGCTCCTTTAAAAGTGAAATAATATTTCAGGGTTTCTCAGAAAGATTCAGAAAGACTTGGAATGGTTTTCCTTACCAAACAAGGAGGGCAACTCAAAGATGTCGCTTTGCTGGACTAGGTCCCCCGGTAGTGCCCTTGTACCAACTGTTTTAGTTGGGAGGGCTTCCCCTACTAAAATAGACAAACAAGAAAAAAGTGGGTACCAGCTGATTCTAACTTCTCAAATCTGGAGGACCTAGTGGATGTACCTTGATTGATGTACCCTCACTCTGACTAGCACCTGCCAGAGGGTCCCTACAAGAGGAAAATTATCTTCCAGGTACCCTCCCACAGGGGTTAGTGGGAGGGAGGGTACCTTTCCTAGACATAGGTGTCCTTTTTGGTTGTTTTGCTCGAAGATTCTATGATTACCGCCCTCGGACAATCCCTACTAAAATAACAGCAGAGAAATAAGTTGGTACCCGTATTCTAATTAACCTCTCTACTAAAGGACCACTAATAAGTATAACTTTCCCAGATCGCAGGAGAACAGCAGATCTCGGTCTGTATCTTCCTGGGATTCTCCTGCGCCCAGCGAGCACCCCGGAGCGCCGGATCGCAGACTGCACGAGCACCTTGGGTTTTATTTGGCGCATGTTCTTCGAATTCCATTTGTTTCATTTTTGTTTTGTGTTTTCCCCTGTTGGTTGAAAAGGAACCGATCACTTCTGGAAAAAAGGGGCTCAAGCAAATGGACGGTTTGCTTGGATGCTGGGGTTTTAACTTTTTGCCAACTAATGGGTGTTCCGTATTAAACCACTAAAAGTTAAGCTTTTAGCAGGGGAGCAGAAAGCCGCCGAGGTTTAGTTGGAGATAGGGGTGTGATTTTGGGGAACCCTTTCAGGTCTGCTCATTCCTGAACTTTAGACTTTTGGTTTGGTTGCCATTTTAGTAGCAAACCCAAAGTTTGGGTGTGTTTGGCCCATCCACTCGATTGGAAGCGAGTCAGTTTTTGAGGGGGAACCAAAAGGATATCGGGATCAGAGATCAGACGACTCTGATGTCAATTTGTGCCAAACTTGCAGACGCAATCAAGCCCGATGAACGTTCTGGATAGTCCGAACCGGAACTAGAAATTCCATTTGTTTAGCAACATTTGTTTGTATTATTTTCCCCTGTTGGTTTAAAAGGGATCGATCACTACTGGAAATATATTTGGTTGTTGTTTTTGCCAGGGGGCTTAAGAAAATGGACGTTTTGCTTGGATGTTAGGACTTCAACTTTTTGCCAACTAATTGGTTTTCCGTATTAAACCACTAAAAGTTAAACTTTTAGCAGAGCAGAAAGCATCCGAGATTTATTTGTTCATTCCTAGACTTTCCACTTTGAGTTTGGTTGCCATTATAGTGGCAAACCCAAAGTTTGGATGTTTTTGGCCCATCCACTCGATTGGAAGCGAGTCAGTTCTCAAGGGGGGAACCAAAAAGATATCGGGATCAGAGAACAGATGCCTCCGATGTCGATTTGTGCCAAACTTGCAGATGCTGAAAGCCACAAACCCAAAGGTTCTGGATAGTCCGAGCCGGAACTAGAACTTCCATTTGTTTAAGACTATGTGTTATTGTCCCCTGTTGGTTTTAAAAGGAATCGATTTCACCACTGGACATTTTTCCCAGTGGGCGAAAACGCAAATGGAAGAGAAGCGGCCGCCCGTTTAACTGTTTGCATTAGATCTTGATTGTGAGTCAGGTGGCACCTGGCCCGCATGAACAAGTTTCTTCATCACTTGCAGCGGGATCCAGACACCTTGACCCTGTCCGTCGCCGCTTTGCTTCGCATTCCGAGGGTGGTCGTTTTTAGGCTTTGGACCGGTGGTGTCCCTTGGCGCGCCTTTAAACCGGCGTAAAAATCTCAGGTGCCCTGAAAGCCTCCAAAGAAGAATTGCCCAGCCCGATGTGGGAATTCATTCCTCCGACATCAACCGCGAAGTGGGTTCTCCTTGCGGTTGGAAAGGGAAAGGCCCCGAGTCTCTGTTTTGTTCCACCATGCGTTCAAAGCCCGGGGGATTTTGTTCAGGACCTACTTGGAGTACTTTTCAGGACTCGACCAAGTCGGCATAGAGGCCAAGAGAGGTGAATCTGATTGCCCGGATCCAGAAAGCCTCCGGAAAGTCTCTCACTCACTTCCTGATTTTTGGGAAGACCATTTTAGTGGCAAACAGTTTGGACTGTTGTTTGGCCCATCCACTCAGGAATTGAGGTCTCTTAGACTGAAGCAGAAATGGCAAAGAATTCCTTTCGGTTGGGTTTCTTACTGCCTGAGTCCGTTTTTTGCACTTTATACAATTTGGTTTAGAGCATTTTGGCGGTCAAGACGTTTGGTTGCTTTTGCTGGGTTTCCAATCCGCTCGGGAGGTCAGGCGTCCTAGAAAAAGGGTCTAATTGGGATCCTGATATTTTTGCAGTTTGGTGTTACCTGGATAGCCAAGTTGTTGTTTTTTTCAGTCACTGTTGCTGTTTTTTGAGGTAAAGTTCATGGAAAAAAGCAGCAACTGGCGATCCAGGTAGTAGGTTTAGTGGTTGGGTGTCCATTTAACCCACAAGTTGAACTTCCAGCAGGGGATGAGAAAACGGACAGCCCAGGCTATGAAAGGTTTGAGCGGTCTTTGGGGGGTAGCGTCTGCCAGGCCGGGTATGACGGTGTGACCACTGTCCTCCTTACCAGTGTCAAAGCATTTTACCGCCGTTTGACGCCTTTTATTAACTTCCTGAGTTCAAGAGTTCCGTTTCGGACTTCGAACTTGGTGGATATGTTTTTGGGGAAGACCACTTTAATGGTAAAGTCTCAGTTGTTCAGTGGCCCCCTTTTTCATTTTTTTTGGTGGCTGCCCCACTAAAACGGTTTTCCCAAAAAAGGGTTCCCTTTTTTTCCAGGGTCACTGAACAACTGAGCTTTAATGGTAAAGTAAAAAGTTCGGACTCGGGAAGTCTTCGCTTTCCGGAAAATGGGTCAAACCCGAAGCAAGAGGTGGTCCCCGTCGCGTCCCATTTTCTTTTTCGACGCGTCACGGGTGCCTTTTTCCTTTTCCGCCCGAGGAAATGCGGCGCGGGGCGGAGGAATTGCCACACGTGCCGCAGTGCTAGGAGCTGGCACCTTGCAGAAAGTTGAGGTGGAAGTTTCGAACATGGTTTCCACCAGATGTTTCTGATTCGATCCCCCTGCAAATGACACAAACAGCATGGGTTCAACCATGGTTTCTTAGGCAGCGCGAGAAGAGGATTTCGCATCCATCCACCATACTTCCATTTGCTTACGAATATTTGTTATTTTCCCCTGTTGGTTTTAAAGGGAATCTATCACTACTGGAAATATGTTTAGTTTTTCCAGGGGTCTTAGCCAAATGGAAGATAAGGTCTGCATTTTTTTGAGCTCACCTGGGGGCAAAACGAGCTCACCATGGTCAAGATCCTTTACTTTGGGATCCCCATTTCGGGTTCTGGACATATTGTATTTGCTGCAGTTAATCAGGTTCTCTAATGCTCCACGTGGCATTTCATGTGTGTTTGTTTAGAGCATGTACAGACATCCACTTGGAGCCATCCCCTTGTGTTGCCCCAACCCGCAAATGAAAAAGAACGGGTTTATGTACAAAGGAATTGGAAGGGGGGGTACTTGGTTTGGGTACATGTGGGCACCCTCCTTCCCACTGACGCGGCACCTGTGGGAGGGTACCTGGAAGATCAATTTCCCCTTGAAGGGATCCTCTGTGAGGTGCACCATGTTAGTGGAAGAAGGGAGGGTGGCAGGGTGCATCTGGGGATGTGTCACAGGCGGCCGAATGAAAAGCAAGTGGTAGTGTCCATTTGGTTTCCCTTTAGCCAGCACAACAAAAATAGGACCCTCAAGGCGGCACACAGCCATG